ATCCGTACCATCCAATTCCGCAAGGTAAAATTGACCATGGTTTCCTATTCTGCGAACCTTGTAAGGACCTATCCAATGATAATCAAGTTTCCGGGACAGGGCAGTGTCCAAGGTCAAATCGTACACTAAAACCAGATCGTTCACATTAACTTTCTCTTTGCGGCCAACCTTGCATCAGTCATAGAAGCGTTTTCAACGTTCTTTCATCTCATCCTGGTTTATTTGTACATTTTTCTTTCGATCGAATACATATCTCATCAATATATTGCAACTATCGCCTATTCGTTTCATCAACAATTGACCAAGGACATTATCCTTATCCACATTGCTAGCTCTAGTTCTGCAATAATCCTTTATATGGATTTTATACTTGCAATGATATTTGCACTCTTCAGGTCTATTACTGCCAACCTTAGCGATGCTCATATTATGGTTATCACCTGAATCAATTGAAATACTTTCATCGTCACAGTAGATTATAGCTATGTTTTTTGGAGCTATACTTCCAACCAGCTTTACATCTTTCTCACCTAAATTAACAGATTCACCTTTATTAGACACCATGTCTGTACCCCTAATTCCTATTTTATCTCTTAGGTTTCCATCTTCTTTCTTAATTACATCATCGTACGTTTCCCTTTCTTTATTATTCGCATTTGAACTATTACTACCCTTTTGGTAACTATACTCAACATCGGTTTGTCTACAAGACTCAACATCATCAGCAACTTTCGTATCCCACTCAAATACTGTGGCTTTATCAAATCTGGCTATGCGCTTTTTACCATCAGATTCCACAAGTATACTTTCAGCATCATTTTCACCACAATGTATATCAGATATTGGAGCTTCACTTTTAATTAATTTTCCACGGTCAAATACTAATCTATTTTCATCTTCTACTTTAGGTTCTATAACTGATTCTCCACCTTCGACATACTCCGAATTCTGCTCAAGCATCTGCTTTTCGTCCTTGTCCATATTACTGGTGTTTTGGTAGCAGGTGAGTATCTTATTTTTGTTTCTTTTAATTTTCTTCTTTTTCTCACCACAATGTCCGATACTATACAATCCACTCACATTCTCTTTCTTCTCATTTTTACTACTCTCCTTTTCATCAC